TAAACAATGATATACCATCCAATAGTTCTTTTGGTTTAACCATATGTGGTTTCAAAACTACTTTGAAGCTATTATCAGTGTTACTTAATAACCTCATGAAGGATGGTTTAAGCATGTCAATAAGTGATTCAGAATTCTATAACAAGTACAAAAGTATTTTACTAATCTTGTATAGTACTAATGAAGTAAACAATTAGTCGGTAGAATGTCTAACTACATGTGCCCTTTGCCTGGAGTAATTTATCAGTAAACCTTGGTGGGAGAAGAAATTCGTGGACCACTCCGAAGTACTTAAAATCTATAATACAGGATAGAGAATTACAACAGTCTTATAACTAAATTACTTCTAAAAATTGTTCTAGGAAAAATTAAGAGAGTATCATATGCCCTCCTTTATTAGGCTAGTTTGTACATATCTTGTAATACATTTATCATGTAATTATATCATATGTAAACATTATTTTATAGTAAATAAAGGGTATAGATACTGTAATAAGTACTGTAAAAAGAATATTCAGCGGGACAAGATATGAAAGTGTCCTATGTTACAGACCCTGGACCTGTAGATATGAGGATCAGAGAAGTGTAATACAGATGCAGGTAGTGAGTAGTAGGGCTTCTTCCGGCAACAAACCATGGGGGTATACAAGGTGGTACAATCAGGTTTATTAGATATAATGGTACGGTGAACTAAGGTGCATTGGTTAGTATAAAGCTTGACTATAGAATTTCTCTGTAATTAGTGACTATATTATATGTAAGGGCCATTCTATCGACTTCAATAAACTAGGCTTCATTATCCTTTAAAAAAAAAAAAAAATAACCAGTCAAACAAAAGATTAAAAAAATTTATTTTATCAATATCTAAAATAGATAATTCTATAATAATATAATCCTATATATAATTAATTTTTATTAAATCAATTTAGTCTATTATAAAGAATTAATATTTTATTATTACTTTAATAATATAAAAAAAATAAAGCTAGTCTTATAATTAATTAAAACAAAAATATTTTAATCAAAACTCTTTTTACTGATTTTCTAACTATATATAAAAATGGAATTTGTAAAAATTTTTTTACCTTTTTATTAATAAAGTCTTAATACTTTTCTTAAAACAATTTGAAGTTTGACTTCAAAAATTATTTTTATTTTTCTCTTATTGTTTACAAATCTCTTCATTCAATAACTTGACTTTTAATAATTAATTAAATAATACCTTTAATAACAATAGCAAGAAAGTTTTCAAAAGAAAAAGAACTAGTTATAAAATATTTAAAGATTTTCTTAATATTTAAAATAAAAGGTTTATAAAGATTTTCTCTAATAAAAAGACATATTTTTTTTTACTATTTTAATTCTTTTAAAGCTTTTACTTTTATAATTTTCTAAAGAATTTAAACTACTTCAGTTTGATCCTAAATTTTGGATAGCATAAATTATTATTAAATATGATTAACCAATATAAAAACTATTAATTTTTGAAATATAAACAAGCTTTTATTATGCACACTCATATATTTCAATAATAATATTAATAATTGAAAAGAATATTTTAGAAATATTTACTTCAAAAATTTAAATCCCTTAAGAAAAATATTAATAATATCAAAATATTAAAAAATAAATAATATGAACTATAAATTCTTATCTTTTTTTTAAGTTTTTCAAATGATAGCAAAGCTTTAATAAACAAAAGTTGAAATTTAAATACTTTTATTGAAATATTCTAATTTAATACTTGTTTGAATAAATAATCAGTTATATCAATTTATTTAATACTACAAGTAGTAACAAAGAAAATTTCTTTTGAAATTTAAGTAAAGTAAAAAGAATATCTGACAATTATTTTGAGAAAAAAATAATTTTGTTTTTAAACTTTTTGATAGAATTTTGAATTGTTCACTTCTTTAATTTATTAATTCTCTTTTGCTTTTAATTTAATAATTTATTAATTTTCAAGTCAATCAATAGTAACAAATTGTTGATAATAATTCTGATAAATAATGATTATACTTTTATATAAAGTAAATTAGTCTTTTTATAAAAATCAATAATTTATTATGAATTTTGATTTAATTTCTTAATAAAGACAAACTATTGTAATATAATTGTAAGTTTAAAAAAATCAATTAAAATAAAAATCAAGTTAACAAGAAATACTTTTATAATTTTATTAATTGAAAAAATTATTATATTAAAAAGATTGAAGTTTTAAAAAAATAATAATTATTATATTAAAAAAATAATTAAAAATATAATTAATTTAATAACTAATATATATTGAAAAATTTTGATGAAAAAATTATTGAATAAAAAATAGTATTAAATTATTATTATTATTATTTATGGGTTAATAAAATCAACTTTATTATAATAAAGCTACAAAGTATTATAAACACAATTACAGAGCATGATACTATAGAATCTATTTAACTTATATACTATATTAGTATGACTTAAACCTTGTAATAAATTCATTTTTGTTAACAAGTAATCTTTAATAGCTACTGTCAACCCTTATATAGCTTTTTGCTAGAGAAAGTTCTACTATCTTCCTATCTATATTTGTACTTTTTATAGGATTCTCTTAGTTAAAGTCAAGATCTTTTTATATCATATTCTACTAGATATTTTTTTTATAATATTTATTATAGTATAGCTATAAAACACTTATGTAAAGTCTTAGATACAGAATTATTTTATCTTGCTAGTGATTTTTTTATATAACTTATTATGACCTGCCTATAAAATAATTATATGAATCTTGAACAAATTTTAATTAATAAAGATCCTTTTTTAACTAATATGCTTAAACTCTATTATTATTCTAATTTTATGACTTTTTTACTAATCTTTGACCTATTTGTTAGAGCTGATAGAACCTATCAGATAATAAGATGGCTTTAGTATTAAAATTAATTGAAGTATTTTGTGATCTTTTGTTTATTCTATAATTGGATAGAATTTTGTCCAAAGGTGACAGCAATTAGTATTATGAAATGAATAGAATTTTCTTATATCATTTAGGTTTAGGTAATACTGTCTTGCAGTATTATTGAACTTAGAAATAACACTTGATGATCTGGAAGCACTACTATTGTTCTATTGATCTATATATTAATTATTATTAGAGTTTAAACTAATTTATTTATAATATATTTTTTATTAAACCCTTTATCAAGCTAGATATATATATTTTATTAAATATTTTATATATTTTACATTATAATATATATTACCAAAATTAAATATTTACCTAATTCACTTATCTTTGTTTTGAAATTTATAAAAACTCCAAGTACAATATGTGAAGTAATTTATTACTCTATTAGTAATTCAAGCAAAGATTCTTTTAACTACTACCTTTATTACTTGCAGGTCTCTACTATATCTTACTTTGCAATATTCTGATAAAGTTCAAAATTCCAAACATTTTATATTACATATTCTTTTCTAGTTAAAATTTCTTTAAGTCTTTTATTTTCTAGTTTTCTTTCTTTCAGTAATGGTTCTTTTCTTAATGACAACATAATTTTTTAGTCTAGAAGAATAAAAATCTTTTTATTTTGTTCTTTCTGTGAAATCTCCTACAATTATTTTTATTCAATTATCTTTTTATATCTTTCATTTCAAATTCTTTTATAGACTTGATTTCAAATTCTTTTTTGTATTTTTATTATTTATTTTCTTATTATTTTTCCTATATATTTTTCATAGTATTTTAAATTTACTATTTTTTGGATAAGATCACTTCTTATAAAATCAATACAAAAGCTTAAAATATTTTGACTAGTTTTAAAGATCTGTTCTATTAGTCTAGAGATCCACTTGTTAAGCTCTCCTAATTCTTTTATGTTATTTATAATTAGTTTAATTTTTTTTCTCTTTAGCTTCTTATCTTCTTTTATATAAAAACTCTCTAAAATCTTTAAATATTTCATTTATTCCTTTACTTTATGCTACTTATAATTGATTTTTGTAGAATAAATATTTTAGCAAGTGTTTTATTGTTTTATTTTATTAACTACATGTGATACATTTTACTTGCTTATAGAGATTATATCTTTTTGTAACCAATTTACTTAATGTTGATAGTTTGTCATTGATTAGTTTAATAAAAAAGCTTTTTTATTAGGACTTTTTAAAGAACATGTCCCATATATGCTTATCTTTTATTCTTTTTCACACTAAATTCTATATATGGACTTGTTTCTCTGAGATTTGGTAACTCTGATTATTCGATATATTCCTAAAAACTGTCAGAAGATTTTTTTGCTTAGAGTGGATTTTGTACAAGAGGAAGATTAGTTTGTTTTGCTTCAGTGAAATTATGACGGGAGAATTCTATGTTGGAATTTTGCGGGATCACTTACCAGAAATGAATAGTATGCTCGGTCATAGGTGATTTCAGTAGGACAACAATCCGAAGCATACCAGTCACGTCGCGAAGAAATTCTTGGAAGAAAACTTTCCTGAGGTCATAGATTGACCAGCCAATAGCCCAGACCTCAATCCTATAGAATATCGTTAAACATTATGTGGAGACGAATGCCCGAAAATATTGATAATTTGCAAAAGTATGAGCGCTGAATTGGAAAAATCATCAGTGAATGGGAAAAAATCACCAGATCAACATGATCAGATCTATGCCTAATCGATACCAAGTGATAATCGATAACATTGGTGAACGATTATATATATGCTGATTTTTTTTGGTTTTTAGGTTTTTAAGTAAAACAATTTATATCGATTGTAATAAATTTATATAAAAGAGTTCGATTACTTTCTTGACACCCTGTATATAGATATTACTTGATCTTAATATTAAGCGATCGAATAAAAAAGTCCATATACGCATTATCCCAACGTCTTTATGGTACGACTAGGACAATTTTGATATACTGTACGTGCTGTAGTTATTACACAAAGTAACTAGATATCAAGAATGTAAACATTAGATGATTCGTTTTTTCTTCTTTTCATGCCTATCGCATTCAGATTTTATGCCCATCATGCCCAGATTTAGTCTTCTTTTCATGCCTAGCATGCTTAGATTTAGTCTTTTCATTCCGAGCACGCTTAGATTTAGGAGAGTAAACCATCCGCGTAGTCATCCCCTGAAAATCGTCCTCTCCTTTCGACCATAAAAAATTCACTATAGCATCTGAACTTTCGGATAACAGGCGCTAATTTATAAAAATGTTAGCGTTTTATATTCTGTTTTCTATTCCTTCTGTAATGCAATCTATACAAACCTCATATTTCAAAAATCCGACTACAGATTTATGAGTCGTTCATGTCTTTCCAAGTTTTCGGAATAGAAAATCTTAATACTTCTTTTATAGTGTATATTTCCGAATACTTTAGTTGGAATTCATATACGATAGCTTCATATACTGTAAACTCCAGTTAGTAACATACAATGATAATGAGGGATAATAATGTACAAAGAACTTACAATATAACTGCATTCCATATAATTTTACCATCCTGATATCAGAGTTTGGACGAAGCTTCGCAAGCCGATTCATTAATGATTTTAACATTTTAATAATTTTTAGCCGGTCTCCGACAAAATGAGCCCAATCTCTTTTCAATGGGGGACCGCTTACTCGTGACAGAGAATTCTTCATCTTCATCTTTCAGTGAGATCAAGATATCAATCTTCTTACCGAGTGAATGACGTTCATTATCTGTTTGAGAATTCTGATCTTCGGTATTCGCCTTACATGTTTCTTCATATTTCACGCGCCAAATCTTTTTATTTTTCATAAAAATTTTCTGAAGGATTGGCGCTAGAATCGTTATAATGAATGTCCCCTCGGACATATTCCCAAGAAGCATGTCTCCGTCTTTAATAAGTTCAATCCTATATAAATAATAAGTTAGTCGGTCTTATTACACTTCTCAGTAAAAATTAAGCAAAATACAGACTTACATGTGGTTTACAAAAAATACCGCAAAGTCCTTCTCAAACGTGTCAATATTTTGTAGTTTAAGATTTTCTTTAGTTCGCTTTATGTCGCTAACAATAATGTTGTCCAGAAATAACCGTATGTTTTCTTCAATGCCACTTTTGATTTCCTTATCCTCTCTCTCTATGTCCTTAGACATCTGCAAAACGACATTTTCTTCCAGTGTCTTCAAAAACCCGTCTTGAGATTTTTTGGTGAAGAGTATTACATCATAATATTCCGGACTCGTTTTTGGTAGACCTGTTTTCTGGTACTGTGTGAGTCTGTGACGGATATTGGTTCCATTCACTACCCAAGTAGTGCTTTTACCACCGATAATCGTTTGCTCCTCTTCAGAAATATTTTCTTCCTCTAAGACATGTTTTCTTCCTTGTGATAGTTCATTTCCTCCACTTTTGTTTTCATGAAGTTTTAATAACTCTGCACACTTCTTTTTGTCCGCTTTATAAGTGCTCAATAACTTTTCCGCCTTAGCCTTTTGCTCGTCGTCAAAATCTAATTTACGAATATTATGTAGTCCTTTCTTATAAGTGTACAGGCATTCCTTTTTTGCGAATCCTGACCCGGAGCGTTGGTCGATAAAAGAACTAAGTTTCCATAGTTCGAAAGGTGTTTTATAAAAATATTGGTCGACAAAAATTCTCTGGAAAAAACTATTCGAAATTTCCGTAGTATCTTGTTTATCATTAGACGCGACTTTATTTTATAAATCACCGCGTGACACAAAAAATACAAAAATAAGCGTTCAACAATTCACATGATCACGTGGATATAGGTGTAAATAGGGGGTGCCGCTCATGCGTCACCCTTACGGCACTTGTGCAGCATTACATTCGAGTGAAATTTCCGGATCATGAGGAAAAATGTAAAACGTGACTTAATCGCAGATCGTCACGCAGTCAAATTCGCGAAAATCGCGAAATTATCAAAATTGCCGTGAGCCGTATTAATGTTTCGCGGAACTAACATTAGTTAAATATAATATAAATTAAGATAATGCGTACATAAATATAAACTATTCATTAAAATATTATGCTAAATCGTAATTTTCAAACTTCGATTTCCGGTTTATGGTCTATATGCCGGAAATAAGATCCGAAAAAATATTTAAATAGTGCTGTAGGGATAATGCACAAGTGCTGTAGGGATGACGCATGAGTGATACAAGGAGAACACCTCCCATGTCATTTATTTTTGGTAAAAAATCTCTGCAGGTGTAAAAATATCAATATTTACTTGTTTTTTTGCTAGGGCGGCCGCATATATGCAAAAAAAAATGTGAAAAAATGCAAAAAGTTAAAAAAAAATGCATAAAAAAGTATTATATGATTTCTCCGATAATAAACAATGTTTATCACTAAGAATATTTCTATAAGATGAAAAACTTCTTTCTATATTAACCTCGACACTGGAAGCCAAATATACATTAATGCTATTTTAAACAAATTTGGAAGATAATTTTTTTTATCATTCCAGTATTTATCTAAATCTAATTTATTATCTTCTCAAAAATCTTCATTTAATTCACAATAAATTTTCCATTCAAATAAAATAATGTTATTAGGATTTTTAAATTCTTTAATTTCATTATATCTTTGAATATCATATCTTGCTTGACAAACTTATATAAATTGAGGATTAAAACATTGAATAGCTTTAAATAATAATGATATAGAATGATAATCAATATGTTTTTTAAATTTATCTAATGCTGATTAAAAAACTCTATAAAATATTTCTTGAAATATTGATGAATTCACATTTAAAGAATTAAATTTAATATCCATTTCACTACTAATTGGAAATTGAATTGTACCTGATTGTAAATGAGATTCAAGTAAATGTAATTTTATAAATATAAGATATATTATAAATTTTAAAAATTTCAAACTATTATAAAGATTAGAATAATAAAAAAATAATTATTAATTAATTAATTAATTAATTAAAATTATAATATAAATAACTTACCTTTTTATATTATATACAATAAACATTATTAAAATTTTAAACATAAAAGTATTTATTAAATTATTAAATATTGTAATTAATTTTTTAACTAATTTGCTTTTATTATTTGTATTTTCTTCTTGAAAAAAAAAAAACTTTCAAATAATATATAGTTGCTTCCAAAAGTTTAAGTCCACTTACTATGTTTTTATTATAAATTTCAACTTTAACAATTTTTAAATCATTAACTATACAGTTAAAAATTAT